GTGTTGATCCTTGCCAAGAGGTAATTGTGGTATAAAGGCTGGCCAAATTTACCCGTCACTCCCATCACTCCCTTTCCCTCTTGCCGTCGTAATGCCAGTCCACATTCTGGTATGTCCATCCCTCACCCTACTTGCTCTGGAACTAACCCTCCTCCTCTCTGCAGACCTCGCTATGCTTTCCATTCTCACACTCACCTCGACCTCGAACCTCCTCAACATTCTACTCGATTTCTCAAGGCCCTCACCTCGCCTCGACCTCGAACCTCTCCTCAACATCAAATCCCTTCTTTCAACATCTGGAGATCGCTCTCAAGGTCTATTCACGAAGCCTCTACCATCTAGTCATTAAGCGCCCGTCTCTGAGCTCAAAGTTGGAATACAGACATCTGGGAAATGCCTCAGGTATGTCCACTTTTGTCAATATATCTCTTCTGAATGTTCATCAAATATCCAGCCGCCTTTCTTTGAAGATTCGGCCCTGCGGCGAGCAGCACCCCTGCTCCCTGACAAGAACAAGCCTGGGTGGTTCATTGTTCATTCTCAGGTATGTCTGTGCATCTCCAGACTCCATTTCCCTCCTCATGTTGTGCTATAGCTCATGTCTCACTCAATCATCAAGAAATGATGCTTTCAGCTCACTTGCCTCAACCTCGAACCTCTTGTTGACTTTTTATTCAATTTCTGGACGTCCGGTCAAGGTCCAAGAGTTATGTCCTCTCTGTCTACCACCTGTATGCCAACATCGCTGCTCAAATTTCATATTTGGACGTCTGGGAAGCACTGTGAGTATGCTTCTTGTTTCTTTGATCCTCTGTCAAGTTCTTATGATGTTTTAGGCCCCCGATTTCGAGGGTTCAGCCCCACGCAGCGAGCGGAACACACGGTCTTGATCTGGGATGTTTGTGATTGGGGGATGACCTTGTGGGTCCTACAGTTCATGTTCGGTATGTCTGTGCTTCTCCAACATCCATCACATGCTGATTTCTCACTTAATCATGAAAGAATGAAGCTTTCAGATGACCCACCTCGACCTCAAACCTTTCTGAGTCCTCGACATTTTATTCAATATCTCGACGTCCGGGGATCACTCTGAAGCTCCAGTTACCATGCCCTGCCTACGGACAGACCCTCCGAGCTCAAAACTCGAATTTGGAGGTCCGGGAAATGCTGTAAATGTGCGTACTTGTTCCTTGATTCTCTGTCGAACTCTGATCAAAGTTTCAGGGCCCAGCTTTGAGGATTTGGCCCCCATGGCGAGCAGAACACATGCCCCCTCTATCAAGGAAGTTCAGGTGAGTATTCTGTGCATATCCATTATGTTTCCTTGCTCATTTGCCTGATTTGAACTTCCGGCAAACATGGTCATTGCGCCAACTTGTCTCCCATTCTCCGCGCGTCCTACCTACACCTCGCCATTGTGCCTCCTCTGTTCCAACTCTTCCTGGAACACTTCTGGCACCTGCGACCCTGCCTGCCTATGAAAATTCATATTTGGGCTTCTGGCAAACCTGTTTCCGCACCACCCGCGTTTGCCTTCCCACCAACCAACACCCTCCAGTTCAACCATCCATCTCCCTAACCTCTTCAGAGACTTGTTCGAGGTTCTGGTAAGTTCTCGTTTCAGCGGTTTCTTCTGACCTTGGATTTCATTGTCCAATGGCACTTGTGCCCGCGGTATCTGTTTGGTGAGTAAGTTTGGCCCTTTACCGTGGCCTGCATGCGGTCTGACTTGGACAGGACCTGCCAAGATGCCGCACCAGGACCCTAAATAAGCGCTCGTGAACGTAGACAGTGTTGATAGTGAATCG